AGACTCGCATAATTACTTGTTATATTCGTCTTCGCATCCATCTCACGTTAAGAATTCCATTCCTTTTTCTCAGTTGATTCGTAATAAACCCGTGAAAGTGATACATCAGATACAATGAAATATATGATATATCTACTGCGAGGATCGTGCATCATACGTATCTAATACCGCAGTTCAAAATATATGAACTTCATATATTTCATTGTATCTCATTCATTAGTTTGCTTGTTTAACTTCATTAGTTGAAAGGAAACATTGAGCATTGAGCCGATACATCGAACTTTCATAACCGTACAATACAATAGAAACTTTATTGACACTCCCTGAAGAGGGTTTTTCGGTGACAATGATCTAAAAATTACAAAATTACAGTACTAAAAGGTATAATAGAAAAATTAAGGAAGCTATAATGTTAATAAATGTTCGCCAAAGTTACAACTAAGAGCGATGAGAAAGGAAAGCAGCAAGTAATTTGGCTCTAAGTTTACGCTTAAAATCACGAGAAGAATTACAGAGTTTGAGGGTATTATCTAAACTGTTCCATAAACTTACTGTACGATAAAAGAAAGTCCTTTGTCCAGATTTAGTTCTATACAGGGGTATATGCAGAGGTTGGGAGCTTCTGGTCGTGCGACCACTTATCTCACCACGTGTTAAAAACTTCGAGGAGAGATAAGTAGGAGCGGAGTCGGTCATACATTTAAATGCTAGTACGGCGTCATGGAGATATAGCTGAGATTTAATAGGTAGCCAGTGCAGTTCTCTCAGAAGCGGAGTCACGTGGTCAAATTTTCTGAGACCACAGATAATCCGGGCTGCAAAATTCTGGACCGCTTGCAGCTTGAGAAGGTTAGTGTCTGCTGCATTGGACCAGACGGAGGAACAATAAAATAACTTACTAAAGACTAAAGTGTTCGTTATTATCAATAAGGTCAATCTGTCGAACACGTGCTTAACACGATTAATTTGAGCTAAACTTGAGATGCAAGAGGAAATTGTTTTAACAATATGCTCGTGAAAAGTAACGCTCGATTCCGGCAAAAGTCACGCCTAGGTCTTAAACGAAGTGCACCGGTATTAGTTCCATTCCTAAGAGGGAGAGACGAATAATCGGGATATTATTTAAATTTTGTCGACTTCCATAAATAGTAATCTTAGTTTTATCAGGATTCAAGAGAAGAAGGTTTGCGAAGCACCAGTTTCGAATCTGTAGAAGATCAGCGTTAAGATCAACAACAGCCTTACCCCAGTCTTGGACTGGCAAAGAAATGTAAAGTTTTGTGTCATCGACGTAACTTTCAAGTAAGACAGGACCGGGGGGCGAGAGGTAAATCGTTTACATAAATATTAAACGAAATGGGTCCGAGAACGCTTCCTTGTGGCACGCCTGATACAACGGGTAGAGGATCAGACAACGCAACTGTAACATTGCAGTATGAGCTAGTATGTTTGTATAGAAGTGAAGTTATCATTTTAATCTTCGGGAGTTTGGGTTTTCCTTTGACGTCACTTTCACTAAAAGTTTGGTTCCTAAAAACTGTAAAAAAGGTTAGCCGCAATGTAATTGACTGTAACATTGTTTGTCGTTTGTTGACCGCGATGGGGACATCAGCTATCAGGGGGATTTGAACACCGCAATACCGAAAGAAAATTGGAAAATACCGCATACTCTGTATGTTACGTCTAGAACAAATAACAATGAAATAGCAATTAAGATTTTGTTAATGAACATTAAGTCAGGTAGTTTTACAATTAAACAAAACGAGCAAAATAATTAACATCCTTTGTTATGTGGTTTGAGGTCCTGTTTCAGCCTGTTTCCGAAACAAAGGCTCGGAAAACAGTGGAGAACCTGGAGGATAGTTTTTAATACCGTCAAAAGTTCTAAAAGCACCGCTTTCCACAGGTTCGGGGAATAGCGCAATGCCGCAATTCGAGATTAAAATGACCGAAATACCGCAAGAAAAATTGTCCAACACCGCAAACCCGCGAACCTCAATCAATGTCCACCCCAATTGTGACTGTCTGTTTCAATACGTCTGTAAAATTGGTTTTCATCGATTCATCATTTTAAGCTTGGGTTAAGAAATGTTATGAGTTTCTTAAAATAAAACTAATAAGATTGCAAAACGTATGATGCACGATCCTCGCAGTAGATAGCGCTATTTAAGCAATAGCGAAAATCAGACCTGAAAAAAAATCAGGCCTGTACGGGACTCGAACCACTGACCTCTGCGATACTAGTGCAGCGCTCTACCAATTGAGCTAACAAGCCAACTGGGAACAGTGATAAATCAGATACAATGAAAGTGATAAATCAGATACAATGAAATATATAAAGTTCATTTATTTTTTTCAGGTCTGATTTTCGCTATTGCTTAAATAGCGCTATCTACTGCGAGGATAGTACATCATACGTATCTAATACCGCAGTTCAAAATATATGAACTTCATATATTTCATTGTCTCTGAGGATTGCAAAACTATTTCACTTGATCACTTGTGTCACAATGGGATCTAGTGGAGCAGAAAATATTTTGGAAGCCAAATATCAAATTTATCAAGTGAACATGTCTGATTCGATAGGCAATCCCGATGCAAAGAAATGAATGTAGCCTTCCCTTAGTTGATTTTTATCGAATTTGCAACAAGAGAGAAAACTTATCCGTTTGTTTTTAAGGTCGTTTTTCAATCGATAACTAAATCACACACGATTCCAGCAATCATGTGCTCTGAGTTGGCATGCTAATGATTGTGCTTCAGCTCACCGCCACGAAGCATCTAGTTCTGATTTATTAAATTTACGTATCGCTGTACTTTCCAGTTGCATCCTAAACACTTCAGTTCAATAGAACATGTGCAGTTAGGGATCATTTGGAATCATAACTCGTCGAAAAAAATCTTCGCCCTGGACACATAAAAAGAGCAACTTTTTTAATCAAAATTCAAATATAATTTCGGTTGGGCTGCATGCAATATTGATTCAGTTTCCGGTGTGCAATTTCTTTACATCGACGAGATGTTTTTTAAACTATATTAATGGGGTTGCTCTAGTCACCACCGAGTGGCGTTTACTTTATTAGTCTGGCTCGCTTTGGAAAATCGAAAAAAATCTGACTGCTGTAACTATGATTTTACATCGATGTTTTAATAAGTGTGTCACGCAAGGGAAAGGGTACTTATGACTGCGTCATTTGGCTTCTGACAGGCTTAGCACAAAAGATAATGAAAACAATTAGTTTTTGTAGTTTCCGCCTCTGCGCAAGTCTACCCTAGTTGTTTTATGCTTTGTAACTGAAATGTGTTATGCTGAAGATCAAAACAAAGTTTCAGTAAACGGAGCCAAAGAGGTCAGAGCTTTGTGAGAAAAGATAGCAGTCGGCCAAAAGGTACTAAGACCTACTAACTGAGGAAACTTCGGGCATTTTGACAATAAGCATTTGCATTCGTATTAGTCACAACTGAAAGGTCTCGTCACGGCGGGCTGAGTATGAAACATAATCCTAAGTGCTTTGACATTTGATTGTTTGTGCTGTTTTTAACTATTCACAGAAGAACATAGTGTATAGGAGAGAGTTTGTTAGTTGATGAGCTCATCTTACACCGTAAGAAAACGAGTCCCAACAAGAAAACGCATAGAGGGAATGTTCAGGTTTGCTTTCAAGTGAAATGGCATCGTACGTGCTGCGACCATTGTTTACGTTGACGTCCGTGTAACAGCTATTCGGAGGTTGTTATAATTAATCAGCTATTCCATGTAGTAACTAGTTATCAGGATATCCACGGAAGGATATTACAGCTTCACTATTTTACCTGTCCGAGTAGAATAGTTAATTATAAACAGTATGTTCTTTCACATTTTGCTCTCTATTTTACGCCCGTCAAATAGCCATTAGTCTAAAATAGATATCGGATATAATTCTTATGTAACAAGTTAATGAAATTCGGTATCAAATGATCGTTCTACGCCAACTTTCTTACATATATCGTTGCCGAACCTTCAGCAGATCGATCATAAACAGATCTTTTTGTTGAGCTCAAAGACTTAGTGGCTCTCTTCCAGTTCTTTGGAGATTTTAATTTGATCATCATTATACTTCTTTCTATAAGATTGAAGCGAGGGCACTGGTAACCAGCCTCATGATCAGCATAGAAATGGCTCAAGTTCGTGCAATGGTTGTTCTTACCATCTTGAACAGTCTGGTGGCTCATTGTGGTTGGTAGAAAGAGTGATTTTTATTTTTCTTTCACATGCCACACTTACAAACGACACACACAGTAATTGGAAAAGGAAGGCTTTCATTGCGGCTAATCTACCCACTGGCAGAGTTATGTAGTGTTTTTTTTTTTTTTTTGTCTGGTTTGGCTTTGCAGAGGTACTGGGTGAGCTTATTTCTAATAATCATAATGAGAAGAAAAATGAGTTTAATAATTTTCATTCAGTTCGAGCACTTTGTCATCGCAGTGAAAAAATGATTGAAAAATATTGCTTAAATAGTTCTTTGGTTTACTTTTGTGACCAGCAGGATCCTCTGGTGAAAAAATATTCAGAGTTTACCACCAAAAGCTGAATTACACAGAGGCTGACAAAGCATGTAGAATAAAAAATTACGATGACTATCTCGCAAAAATAAAAACCACTAACGACCTACAGTTGGCTAAAAATAAATCAAATACCACCAACGGCATGAAGTATTGGACAGGTCTCAATCTCTGGTGGGTAAGAATTTTCTACTACTTAAGCAAGTTACTTTCTTTATCAATTTATGACGATTTATGCGTGAGGTTATTTGATGGTTATAGACTTCTCGTGAGGTTATTTGATGGTTATAGACTTCTCGATTCCATGGTCATTATGCCTTTACGTTGGTCACAGGAATGGCGATTGGGAATGGAGTGACAAAAAGATGGCTGGTATAAAACTTGTCGATATTGTAAAGAACTTAAATCGTACAGAAGCACTGTCAAAGAAACCGAGGAAATTCTGCTGTTTGGTAACCCATGATGCTCTCTTGGAGTGCACTAACTGCAGTGAGGAGCATGCCTTTATATGTGAAGATTTCCAAGGTGAGTCTTGATTATGAACAACAGTGAAGCAACTTTATTGATGACTATACTACTTAGTGAATGAGAAAACTTACTGCAAGTCTGGTATGTATGGAAACCTTAGTGTTCCGCGTAGAAAGTAATGCCGACGAACTTATTCACCACAAATCGTATAATTTCATTGTTGTTTATTTGGACGATTTTGCAATTATTCGATCTGGCAAAAGCATAATACAAAATCGTTTGTATGTGTGTATATCTAAATTCTCATACAATGATTTGACTCCAAAATAGCTCAAAAATATAATTTGACATTCATATTTTACTTACTTCTGTGGCGGGCCGTTGGCTACAGTTAGCCTAAAGGCTTGTTTCGGGTTAACAACTTACACTGGACCTTTTCTTTTGAAATTGATTTACTGACTGAAATGTGATGTTAAGTACAAGCTTATATGTCAATCAATGTTCTCAATCACGTCATTCTCATTCATTTTTAACGAAACACTTAGAACACTATCATAATTTAGAAGTAAAATTAAAAACTAGATTGAGATACCGTAGAAGATCCCCCTTTCACTTCTAATCAATTTTATTACTTATTACTTATCCTTGTCTTTCTTTCACTGTTAAACAGAAAGTAACTTTACACAAGTGGACGTTAATTCGAGGTTGGTACAGTAAACATTTGACGAACACGTCATGACCTCTTTTTCAAGCTAATTCTTCACTAACTCAAACTCCAATTTGTGATCCCCTTTATTATTATTTTTTTCGATATGTTCTATCTTTTATCCACTTATTCTTTTTCTAATTGGTTCGTATGTCTTTAGCTGCATCCCAGCATTTTCTCTAGTTAAATCCTCCGCAAGAAACGCTTCCTGTATATTCTACGAGTATAAAGGCGAGTTTTGCAAAGATATCATAACAAGTCTGTACGTTTATGGGAACCAAAGCACATTGGATTATGGTGAAAAGGAAACGAACACATTCGGAGGCTACTTCAACTTGTTTGAGATCTCGGAGAGGTGTAAACCTGTGATAAGAGATTTATACTGTCGTTATCACTTCCCACCGTGTGATGAAACACTGGGCGAGCCTAAAGATCGCGGGCTCTGTCAAAGATCATGCTTGTATTTGATTCAAGATGTTTGTAAATCAGAGATGAATTTTCTTAGAAACGCATCCAGGGATGCCCCGGTGTTCGACCAGAAAATGATTAATTGCTCGCTATACAAGCCCACTAATGGTGGAGATGCTCCCGAATGCTATGAGTGGCCAGACATACCTGGTGCGTATCAGCATAGTCATCAATCCTTTCTGTAATTTTCAATTTATCTGGGACTAACTTTGACTAACAGACAAACATGAAATATCTGACAAAAACCAACGAAAACTTTGTTTAAACAAGGTTGGAAAATAACGGCTGGTAAGCGAAAAAGGTGAAAACAGTTTATCTGTGTGCTATGTTGACCGGCTCACATACCTGGTGTGTGGGAGTCAGAGATTGTCTATAATTTAATGATATAATTTAAATATAATCAACAAAGTTGAAATGGTAAATTGGCCACCGTTACGATTATAAAAGCTGACGTTTCGAGCGTTAGCCCTTCGTCGACGAAGATGTTTAGTTACTAAGTATACATAAGCTCTACAGCATGATAATTTCACTTTATTTTTCTTTCGCGACACGCACTCCAATTTTTTTTTCTCTTCCCACAGGTGATGACACAAAAAGCCTGGGTCTGTATTCATTTGATGTTTTGAGTATCGATCTGTGTTTAATGATTTATCTGATGCAGCCAAATATGTCATGGCCCCTCTTTCGAAAAAAAGAAAAGAAAAAAAAAAGAAAAAAAAAAAAAAAAAAAAAAAAGAAAAAAAATTTTCAAAAATTTATATTTCCGATCGATAGCTCTCCAAAGCCTTTTAGGACAGTATTTGCAGAGAAGGTTTTCAGTGGTGTAAGCGGTCAGAAGCGCAAAGTAATGACACACTACTTCAAGAGATTATATTAGATCGGTCAATGCACAGATACTCCCCCCCGTTTGCGTTGCCTTGAAGCCAGTTATCCAATTTCTCTCAGATTGTTACTATGGCGTGGGAGTTGGGTACCGTGGCAGTGTGAACGTCACCCGGTCTGGTCGTACATGTCAGTCTTGGAAATCTCAGTGTCCTCATCGTCACTGGCGGATTCCTACCAAAGATGACTCAAACATGTGTCGTAACCCGGACAGCAGTGCTCCGAATGGGCCCTGGTGTTATACCACTGACCCAAATGTTCGATGGGAATATTGCAACGTATCTCGATGTCCTCCAAGAGGTAAATTTAGCCACTGAGGAAAAGAAATAATTGGAAAGATTCAAAATATACATCCAAGTATAATTTCATCAAAAAAATAATATATGGGTAGAACAAATTTGGCTGTAAATTTAACAATCAGACGCAGAAAAAGGTTTGGGTCATAACGACTGTTGTTAGTATTCATTACCTCACCACGATTACACTGTCTTAACAGTTATGAGAATTTACAATGAATATGCGTTTGTTGTTGTCATCTACGTACACTAGAGTTACCGCCACCTCCGAAACGCTTCACGGTAGACAATGTTCAGACAAGGTATCTTATTTTGACTTGGGATGAGCCAGAAAATGCCAGCTTTCACCAAATATTAAGCTACACCGTAGAGCGGAGGACATCAAAATTGGAAAACTTTACAGTATTAAAGACGATTCCGTACCCTGGGACCAAAATGATTATGGAGGACTTGGAACCCTCCACAGAATACACCATCAGATTATCAAGCAACAATATGCATGGGAGATCAGAGGGTGTTTTGGTAACACAAAAGACACTACCGAGTGAGTAAACTGTAACGGATAGGCTCTTCTTTAAAATCATTTTTACTCTTGTAAACTAATAGGTGTTTTGGCACTACCTTACATCCCAAATACCTTGATCAGATCTAGTGCAGAGCCCTGAATTGACCTCGCTTAGTTTCATTAAACCTGCAGCATGGTCATTTACATCAAGACATACCCTCGTTAGAATAAAGGCTGATAGTTTCCAAAGAAACTGTTTGGGGCTGCGTAGGTGGGGATAACGAAATAATTTGAATATATCAACAAAGTTAAAATGGTAAATTGGCCACCGTTACGATTATAAAAGCTGACGTTTCGAGCGTTAGCCCTTCGTCGGAGCGAATAGAGGAATTGTGGGTTGTGCGTGCTTTTAAAGGCAGAAAATGGAGCTACGTTATTGGTGGGAACATGGCAACGAGAAAAACAGGAATAAATTAGTGGAATGAAAAGCTTTCGTTGATACCTTTGGGCTTTAGACTGCCGATTTGAAAGATGAGCTTTTGTTCAAGAGTTTTACGGCTTTCCGTGCTACCTAAGTGTAAGGAAAGACCGCAGATTGCCAATACAACAGAAGAANGACGAATGACAAGGACACATCGAAACCAGTCGCTAGACATTTTAATTTACCTAATCATTCTAAGCAACATATGGCAATCTGCGGTCTTTCCTTACACTTAGGTAGCACGGAAAGCCGTAAAACTCTTGAACAAAAGCTCATCTTTCAAATCGGCAGTCTAAATCCCACAGGTATCAACGAAAGCTTTTCATTCCTCTAATTTATTCCTGTTTTTCTCGTTGCCATGTTCCCACCAATAACGTAGCTCCATTTTCTGCCTTTAAAAGCACACACAACCCACAACTCCTCTATTCGCTCCGACGAAGGGCTAACGCTCAAAACGTCAGCTTTTATAATCGTAACGGTGGCCAATTTACCATTTCAACTTTGTTGATATATTCATACCCTCGTTAGGCTCTTCATTTTCAAAACCAGAATTTCGATCAAATGTCAGCCCTCAGCTCCACTCTGCGCTTAATTGTTCTGCAGCTTTAAGAGTTCTCTTTTAACTTTTTTGTTCATTTGTCACTTTTCCAGACGAGTTTATTATGAAATTGATGCTGAAAATAGTGTTGCCACTAAGCTTAGCATCTTTATTAGTTGGGGTCGTTTGCGTCAAGTATGGACCTATTAGAAATTCAAAGCGAGGCAAAGTGTACACTGAGGTAATCAGAATTTTATAATTAAAACTTTCTTTCAGTCAACGAAATTCAAGAAAATAAACAGTTAACTTTTATGCTTACAATAAACAGTTTAACCTACAGCCGCAGACACCGCTCACCACTCTTTGTAACTGGGTCGAGATTCCCAGAACAGATGTTACACTCAAAGAGAAGCTTGGGGAAGGTGCATTTGGAGAAGTGTACAGAGGCTTAGTGCGCATGGACGGACAAGTAAGGGCATGTGCAGTAAAGAGTATTAAAGGTAAAAAGGGTTAATGTACTTGCTGATTTTTCACAAATTGATTAATTGATTTTCTGACTACCTATTGTGGTTGATTTACTTGTTGACTGAACTGTGATCCACCGGCTTGCAGATTTGTTGACAGATTGATTGTTTAAAGCGTTTGAAAACGAGTGTCTTTTTTAAAAAGCATTTGTATTTGCATTTTATAGAGAATGCTAGAGAGAAAGACAGGAAGGACTTACTCAACGAGCTTCAAATCATGGTTACAGTTGGTGAACATCCTAACATCATAAGTCTCATTGGAGCTTGCACAAATTCTGGTAGTTATTTGCTGAACGAATTGTAACTTTAATGATTTTATTATCTTGAACATAAACAGTCCCTCACCCTGTCGTCTTTTTACCTATCAGAAGGTTCTAAGGAACTCGCTTCCCTTAATGTCTGGTTCTCTAACGATTCACCTGTAATGAAATACCTAGATTCAATTTTGGTCATTGTTCGCCTGGCTCCGAATGGCTGCTTGTTGGACCAACTGAAGAAGAACAGAGAAAATCCATACGAAGATAAAATGAAAAGGCAAATCGGATTCACACGTGTGGACAAATTAAAGATCGCAAGAGACGTGGCCTGTGGAATGTCTCATCTCGCCAGCAAAAAGGTAGTTATGCGAAAGGCTGAAAAAGTAATACATCCAATTACACACATTCACTTACACTAAATGGTCTGACTTCCTTATTATTTCTATTATTCCATTATCATTCTGAATTTATCTCCCAGTGTGTTCATCGCGACCTTGCGGCAAGAAATGTGCTTCTTGGCGAGAGGAATGTTGCTATGGTTTCCGACTTTGGCATGTCACGTGATGTGTACGAAAGTGGTGAATATGAAACTCTTTGCACGGTATGGCTACTTTACTCGTTGAGAAAACGGGGAAGGAAGGGTTTTACAACTTCAAAAAAATGTGCATAGCTTTTAGCGCTATACAGATGCTTTTTTTTATTTTGTTTTGTATCTATTTATGAAGAAGTTTCACTTTATCGACAGAGTGTTTTCCCCTTCCCCCTCTACATAGCTATTATCTTTTTTCAGTCAATGTCGAAATAAACTGCAACTATGAGTGTTTATTGTATGGCTTTATCAATCGGAGAGTTAGTCAGCATTCCTATCGCATACTAATTTCACTGAAATCGTGCCAATTCCTCTCTCGAACAGGACATGTTACCGGTTCGTTGGATGGCTCTTGAGTCTTTGGAGGATTTAGTGTATAATACAAAGACAGACGTGTAAGTTATTCGTAAAAGAAATCGCATGAACTCAAGAGTAGAGTAGAGTAGACATTAATATTTATACAGGATAGCTCCTTCAGTGTAGTAAACACTGGTATCAACGGGGGTCCTGTTACCCACCCATCCCACCCCAGGGGAGGACATCCATCACACAGTAATGTGAAATTAACGTCTCCTGCCCCTAACCCTGCAGGAGACGGGACCTCCACTTACTCGTCCCTATCCGAGAATATCTAATCATTTCTTGATGTTATAGAAAGTTAGCATATTCTTCTCAATTATTCTAAGACCCTGAGTGTTGGTCCGGTCGGGGTTCGAACCCTCGACCTCCCGCACAACAGTCCAGCGCTCTATCCATTGAGCGCTGGAGAGGAGGAGAGTTAAATTTGAATGGCTTTCAAATCATCACGGGGGACCATTACTCGCGAAATGTCTTGTTTATCATAATTATTTTCATTAATAGCACCTTCATATGCTTCCTTATAGATCCTCGAAGCTCGTAATTCATTTAGTTGAGACCTTCCTGGACGATTCGAAAATGCTAATATATTTTCTTCCAATTGGTCGTTTAACATAATAAAACCGGGCTCAAAGTTCTCGTAGCATTTCGTGATCAGCGTCTATGATTTCTAAAGAGTAGAAGAAGGAATAGTATAGTGCACTCTGTAGCTTTTGCAGCTATGGCCTGTTTATGCATTCATGGTTGACCAGTTACGACTGAGATACTGTTACCTTGAAATGAAAGAAAGGAAAATATACTCCAAACTTGTCTAATTGTTACCATTGCCTTGAGAGACTTTAACGATCAAGTGGAGAATTATTTTTGGAGTTCTCGTCTTTTTCCATTTTGAAGTTTTCTATATCAAGTGAGAAAATTAAATTTTAGAGGATGACCAATTTCTTTTTTTTTCGTTGACAGGTGGTCGTTTGGAGTTCTTTTATGGGAGATCGAATCTGGAGGTAAAGTTGTTACTTGAATCAAATAACTACTGGATCATCCTTGGCACCAGTGCTTCCACAATCGTAAGACATAGTATTCTGATGTTTGAGATGAAAAAGTTTATCGTGCACTAACGAATATAGTCTCTCATTTTTTTTCAAGGTAAAATGCCATATACCGGTCTTATAGCCAGGGGAATCATCGAATTTTTGAGGAACAGAAAAATATTATCAAAGCCAGAAGGATGCCCGAATGAAATGCAAGTAGCCATTGATCATCATCATCAATCCTTTTCATGCCTCGTGGCACATAGGGCCTTCACAGAGCTTTTGATAGTAGCCATTGATAGAATGAAAATATTTCGGCTGTCACAATGGTTCGGCTCCGAGAGCTTGGTGACTAGAATTTTTCTCTTTTTTTCGTTTCCCAGTTATGATTTAATGAAATCTTGCTGGAATCTGGATCCGGAGAAACGTCCTCCATTTGCAGATCTTTTGGTGTGCCTTGAGAAAGAACTTATTGAAAACAAAGAGGTATGATCAGTAGAGCAAAATGCCGTTCATTGAGTAAAAGGAAATAAATGAGGTACTTTTTCTCTATCTCTATCTAACCCATTGGCTTAACTTATTACAGCTTGTTTGAATTTTTCTTTCTTTACTTTTAGGATTTCCCAGGGGATAAGAACCGTCTTGAAACGGAACCAAAGGGAATTACAAATATTGTTAGTGAACCGGATTAATGACTTAGATGAAAACGCTGCCTATGGATTCACAAGTTTTCGTAGGAGTCCAAATACCTTTAGGCTGATGAGAAGTTATTATACATCCGCGTTTGTATGTTATCAAAACGAACTGTTGTGGTCCACCATAAATCGTTTCAGTAACAGAAAGCAGACTTATACTTAGTAAATAAACCCCTTCGGGCGGCTGGTATGTCTGCTGATAATGTCCGCGGCTGAGAGATTGTCCGAAAAATGAATATTTGGCCGAGAGGCGAAGCTTCGAGGGCAAATAGGAAATTTTGAGGACAATCTCTCAGCCAAGGACATTATCAGCCGACATACCAGCAAGTCAGAACGGAGTTTATTTATTTTATAGCCCTCCCATTAATTTTCACATCACAATTAAACTGCATAAACAAAGTAAAAAAGTCAGTGGTGATCTGACGGCGAATGCGCGTGATTGACGCAAGCGAGCAAAATAAAAAAAAAAACCAGTTTGGTTCCTTCCATGTAAATAGGAGAACGGAAAAGTTGAAACTCTTGTGTTGACTATGTTTCTTTTTCACGCAAAAAATCGGAGGACAAATATCGACGCGGACGGGGATTACTGCGTGATAACTTTCCTGTGATTTTGCACCACGTGACGTAAAGTAACCAATAAAATCGCGCCAAAGTTAATGGGTGGTTTATAAATTGAATTAATGCCCTGATGTAATTGCTTGAGGTGGACATGTTTTTTTACACTTCATCAAGTGACGACATCAATTAACGTTGTTTTTGTTCATTCGCTTATTTCGATCGAGATCGCTCTTTTTCTTTTTTTCCTTTGCTCTATTGGCAGCAATATGTTTTTGTCACTCATGTACATTTATTTCTTCTATTGAGACTCACATTCTATAAAAGCTAGGTAATTTTCATCGTTAGGTGAATAATCGAAGATAATCGAGGATAATCGAGGTTTGATTGTAACAAGTTACTGCATTAGTAAGCGTTATTGTAGTGATAATAACAATGTTCCGTAATAATAATGATAATGATATTGAATTACAAGCGACAAAGGAGGAAATAAAATCATTAGTTTAGTTTTATTTTCAAATCATTTGCACTGTCACGAGAACAGAGAGCTTTAAGTTACCTTTAGCTTCTAATTTCTAAAGAGCTACAAAACTATAACTAGATGTAGCTTTTTTCGACGCAGAGAATTATCTTAAGACAAAACTTCATTGATTAATCTTAAAGTAAGAAACCCACCAGTGATTAACATTCATCTTGGTGTTTTGGATAACTTGTCCTTGCTTGGGTTTCAAGCTCATGTACTTAATGTCCATAACATTAAAACGCAAAACTAACAAGAACCGAATTGTAAAGTAAAGTAATGGATGGATAATTACCGCTGGAAAACAAGTGATCGCGTGAACAGCAAAATGCTTAACACCCTCAAACGAAATGAACTATTTTGGAGTTGAGTGAACTTTAAGAGGCTACAATCGAGTCTATTAAGAATCATGCTAACAGTTACTCTGACCGACTCTTGGAGAAAACGAACCATAACTAAATGGACGGGATCTCCTTTCGTGCAATGTTGAAAACAGAAAAATTAGCCTGACTTTACCCTTTGCAGTCTGAGTCGATAAGTCTTCATCTCTAGCCTTTTGTTCTTGTTACTTCTTCATTGCTTGTGTGTACTCTACGTAACTTTTATTTTGAAGATTTCTTCTTCTGCGAGATTATTGATTGCAAAAAGCATTCTAAATATGTAATTTCCTTTTATCTTGACTGCCGGATCTAACTCAAACAAAGTCCTATTCTTTCGCTCAGTTGCAAGTAAGCACAAAATATCAATTACTAAGTCAACATATAGGTGGAACATAAATGACTCCACATAGGTACCATTGTCCACCTTATTTAATTGAGCCAATTAAATTGCAGTAAAAGTTACGTAATCTTCAATACCACAATACCCTTCAGATCTGACAACAAATTCATAAACCAGTCAGTTCTTTTCAGAATCATGGTCATTCGTATCCTTCAAGGAGTCCTTCAAGAAAATCAATGAAACAAAGATTTTTGAGTATTTGGATCATCAAGAGGTTTTTAAGAGTTTGTCAAAACCTGTTTCTTCATCAATTTTCTTTCGATTTCTCGCTATGATTAAGAAATGGTAAACACCACAGCGTACACTATTGACCAGTTGACCAATCAGAGCGCGCGCTTTACTTTGGTTATGTTACAAATTCAATTTGATAAGGCAAGGAATATAGAGGATTAGAAAGTATTTGGTGGGTTCCTGGATACCAGGGTCTCTCATCTTCCCTCTCCAGGAGGCGGAAAGATGAGAGACCCTGGGAACGAGGTTGGAGTCATGTACAGATGCGGCAATAGTAACCTTATACTTACGTCTTCGGTTTTCAGTTCTCCCTCGAGTAATTCCAAAAGCTCAGAAAATGACGGACGCTTTGCAGGATCCAAACTCCAGCATGACTTCATGATATCGTAGCTATGAAAGAAAAACCAACTCAGTTTTGTTACACATCAGAGTTTGAGATAGAATAAATATATGAAGTTCATATATTTATTACAGGCCTGATTTTTTTCAGGTTTGATTTTCGCTATTGCATAAATAGCGCTATCTACTGCGAGGATCGTGCATCATGCACATCAGAGTTTGACCATTTTGACAGAACCCTGTTCTCATTACATTCAGATTATTTACATTTCAGGAGAGCATCCATCCGGCTTTGATAATATTTGTCCTGTTTTTAGAAATTCGATTATTTCCATTCCACCAAGACCGGAATATGGCATTTTACCTTGACAGGAGAGATAAAGAATTCAGTCTTTGATAAACAGTTTTCCTAGGTACATGTCTTACGATAAATTTTTCACGATGGACCGAGGCACTGCCAATAGTAGGAAAATGCACAACCAAAGTACGTTTGAGATAGCAGAGAAGGTGAAAATGGTAATGATGATGACAACATGATGAAGGTGAAGATGATGATGTTTTGTATGGGTATTTTAAATTCTCAACTTACTCGCATATCCTTCGATATGAAACAGGCCAAAAGGCTTAAGGCTAAAACTTTACCTCCAGATTCAATCTCCCATAATAACACTCCAAAGGACCATCTGTAGCAAAACAGCACCATAAGGTAATTTTACTATAAATTACCTATCTATTTAATACCGGATTTTAATTCCAAGTTGTAACAACGCCATAACCCCACCAACATTCTTACTTTTCGATGTAATTGTATACAAATAGTTGCAAAAAACCTCGAAATCCCTTAAAATCATGATCCATGAACGGATAAGACCCAACGACAGATATCTAATCTGCGATCCACTTCTCTTATTAATCATTTTAAATATTCCCTTGGCGATGATCCTTTTCTTTCAAGAAAGCTTGGGTAGCTTTCGTGCAATTAATGATGACAATCACGTTTATTAGATAAATAAATCCGTAGGGTCCCATCGTTAGGGTGTCAAGGTTCTTGAAATCGAGTTTAAAAGGAAACCATGTACTTGATGTAGTTGTCTAGCTATATTTTAACATTGTAACGCTTACAGTGCATATAGTTTAAGTACTGAACCTGTTTTAACCATTTGATGGTTAATTCGGAAACCATAAAATAGTTGTAAAGCTAAATCAGTTAGTAGTCATTACCGTATAGCATAACAATTTAACTTTCCCTCATTATTTGTTACTGTTTTAACTTACACGTCTGTCTTTGTGCTGTAGGTATAATCCTCCAAAGACTCAAGAGCCATCCAACGAACCGGTAACACTCCCTTTTTGGTGGAAGAATTTAAAAACATTGTTTGAATATAACCACTTCAGTTTAAATAGCCCTGAGCAGAATACTTGACGGCACTGGCTCAGGAAGATGACAATGTAATTTTTGAAGGCCGCAGAGGGACATAACACCGCCAAAGGATCTTCGTGCGCGCTACTTGCTCCAAACTAATTGACATTGTGGAACAAATCTGCTGGATATGCAATCATTGAGCAAATCTAATATTCTTTATGAGCGTCTCCAAAGATAGGAGAGATAAAGATTTCAGTCTTTGTGGGCGGTTTAATGAGAAGCTTTTCAAAGTAACACGTGATAAATTTTTACCGACTTACAGACTGGCTTTTTAAACCAGTGGGACAATGCAAAGCTAAAATACAAGTAAGATAATACAAATGATAATGATAATGATGAACATGATAAAGATTGTTATGGGGAGTAACTGTAAAATAGTAGCTTCTAGAAATCTCTAGGACGCCATCTTTGTAGAAGGAGGAATCTTTGCAATGTAGTTGTGTTAACCGTAGATTGTAGGATTTCTTGCGTGAAATAGTAAAAAAATTATTTTTCGTTTCAAGTACGTTTCTACTTTTTTAAGCATAAACACACTGGCCATACCCCAGATGCATTTTCATATTCACCACTTTCGTACACATCACGTGACAAGCCGAAGTCGGAAACCATGGCAACATTCATCTCGCCAAGGAGCACGTTTCTTGCTGCAAGGTCACGATGAACACACTAAGAGAGAGGAGTAAACTAAATATCGAATAATCTTCTCGAAAGTAGCTATTTCTCTGAATCAGTTATTTAACAATTTCCAAAAGATAGGTAAGTTTACAATAGGAGAAGGTTGTCCCCTACTAGGTAACCCTCAACCCTAACCCTTAACCCTAGCCCGTTATTCTATCGCGTACCTTTTTGCTGGCCAGGTGTAACATTCCACGAGCTACATCTCTTGCGATCTTCACTTTGTCCTGGGGCGTGAAGTTTATTTGTTTTTTTGGAACTTTGTAATACGGATTTTCTCTGTTCCTCCTCAGTTGGTCCAAAAGACAGCCATTGGGGGCTAAACGAACAATCACCAATACTGACCCTAACATTTACGAGAATAGTTGAGTGTTAAAGCTGTTAAACAGTAATTGCGGTTGAATGTCGAATTGTTTGTGTTGCATAATTGAGAATTTGCTACTACATCAAAAGATGAGTCCGGAAAGGAAACTGCACATAAGACATTAATAAAAAATTCATAATCAAACAAGAAAAACATTGACTAAAAATTACCACTCTTGGTACAAGCTCCAATAAGGCTTAGAACATTAGGATGTTCACCAACTGTGACCATAATTGCAAGCTCGTTTATCAGGTCCCGTCTCTCTGTTTCTGTAGCATTCGCTGTTAAGACATATTATAAAATTAACTGATATTCATAGGGTTGGAAATCTGTTTCTTATTTTGTATCAAACATGAGGACGCCCCCTTTTTATGTTCTTTCAATCAAGGGATCATTAATCAATGAATAAATTTTGGTAATCAATAATTTACTTAGCTCAGTAACTAAGTCACACAACCAATTGAAAGCGTCATCAAATATAGTTACCTTTAAGCTTTTTTACTGCGCATGCTCTCTCCTGCCCATCCATACACACCAAGCCTTTGTAAACTTCCCCAAAGGCACCATCCCCCAGCTTGTCTTGAAGGGTAATATCTGATCTGGGAATCTCAACCCAGTTTCCAATTCCGATGGAGAGCTCAATCTTCAAGAGCAATGCAAAAAGTAAAATACAAACGAATTACGCCACGTTTCATCCATCAACCAACTGGATAACTTAATCATACAATGCAAGTTAAATTACCTCTCTTTTTTTCCGTTTGGATTTACATGTTGGCCGAAGCTTTAAGCAAACGGCCAATATAAATGCAGCAGCTAAAAACAGGGGCAAGACTATAACCAACATCAAATCTCTGATGAACCTGTCTGAAAATTAGAAGAAGCAAACTCTTATCACAAACAAGTAACCAGAAGTACTGATTAACCTTTCCCATACAGAGTAAGTGTTTCATTCCCTTTGGTTCTTGAAATGTCTGTTTTCGTTTTAAAAAAAGCCGAAAGAACTCTTTCCCAATTACTTAAGTCTCACCTTTAAACCTTTTAGATTACCCAAAAAGAAGTTTGTTGGAATTATTTACAAATACAAGTAGTATCCAACGCTATAATCGCTTTTGTCATAGCGTTAGTTGACATCAGTTGTTTTTGTTAACAATTACTTTCGTTTTTGACTAATATTGTAAACTCTCGAGCATTATCCTCTCCTTACCAATACATCATGAAAGATCAACTTGCCGCTGGTCATTTAGGGAGAAACCCATCATAGGTGTTATTATTACCTGGAAGTGTATTCTGTGTTAACAGTACACCCTCTGACCTTCCGTACATGTTGTTACTTGATAATCTGATGGTGTATTCCGTGGAAGGATCTAAGTTCTCTATAACCATTCTGGTTTTAGGATATGGAACTGTCCAAACGGCGGTAAAGTTTTTCAGTCTTGATATCTTTCGTTCTATTATGTAGTTGTGTATCTGGTATAAGCTACCATATTCTGGTTCATCCCAAGTCAAAATAAAGTATGTTGTCTGTGCATTCTTTACGAAGATATTTTTCGGAGGCCTTGGTGTCTCTTGTGAGTGAAGGAAGTAACAACAGTAAATAGATAAAAAACAGCAACTTTAAAAGTACATAACCGACTGAAAATTTGTCGAGTTATTCAAATCATATGATATAATATGAGAGTAGGGTGGTAATGTAACAGGATGACCTTCACAACGATTTTCTCACCCTGAACGAGTATGGAAGTAACTCTGAGTCGATCTCCAAATGACGAACGCACCCCTCCTATCAACTGATTCAGAGCATCATCTTTGTCCGTTTTGTTTGTATTTATCGTTGCAAGGACTTTAATGTCTGCCCTTAAGCTGCCATTTCTAAAGAGAAAAGCAATGTAAAACTTAGGAAGAACTCACGAACGATGAGTAATTAATGTTGATCATGAGAGCTGGCACACTGCAAGGTGCTTAAAGCTACTTCCATTAAAAGACTCTGGGTGCGAACAAATTTACTTCTCATTTAAATTCTTATTTATTTTGGCCTCATTTTGGAACCAAAAAATGGCCAATTTAGACAAGGCTTAAACAAGGATAAAAATGGTTTCCCTGCTCTGCCTTTGTTTTCGTTTAGCCCAAGCCAGGGTTGTGATTTGATCTTATCTTACCTGAACTGCATAGTTATGACGTCATATATCTTCAACATAGAAGATTTATTAAAGTGGTGTTTTATCTAAAAGAAGAAAAAAGCTTTATTCTTAATCAAGGCAAGTGGAAATATAAAAACAACTTTTTAGCCTTACACTGATTGCATGTAAACCTAAACTATGTCGTTACTTACTGAGATTCTAATGACTTCAGCCACTTCCAAGAACCTTTTACTACTACTGTTAAGTAGATCGCTGGTGAAGTCAGAGTGTATTATCAGCTGGAAGTCCACCTCAAATATGTCTTCACCTGAGGAGTGACAATGGACCAAAATATAGGTGGAGTTGATAAAAAGAGAAAAGAAACAAAAATGGCTGGGGATGAAAAAAATAGCGCAAACTATGACGAAGTAAAATTCAAACTAAAAGTCATTGGTTCTAGATTCCAAAAACGTAGCGTGTAACGATTTTAGAAATTAAAAGCTCAGTACAGATTCAATTATGCGGAAAGAGAAACCAAACATGAGTTTCTCGCCGTTATGTTCACCGGCATTCACCCTCATTCCTGACATCTTGTGAATTCATAACGAATCACTGACATCTGGACATCTAAAAAGGCTCCCAACTGTCCATGGTCAGTTGACTTTGAAAGCGGTATATAACTTACTAACCAAAAGACAGGGTCTTTAACACAAGAACCGTGCTAGGTCGCCCGTGGCCAATTTCATTGAATCCATTGACTATAATCTCGTATGCTGTGTTTGGGCGGAGCTTTGTAACAACATTCTGAGTTAAGTTGCTCGTAGTATTTACTTCTTTATAGAGCTCGGAATCGAGGCTCCGATATCGAATCCGGTAACCCAACAGTTTTTCTTTGTGACGAGAAGGAGGTACGTTCTTCCAAGATATTAAAATCGCAGTTGAATTGAGAGGACGGCCTTTAAGGAAAGTGGGAGCCTCTTCTGGAACTAAAAAAAAAACAGCATTTATCTTATTTTGGTCCACAATGAAGAAGAGTATTCCTTTGGTTGGCTCTGGAGCACTGTGTGGAATCCAATAGTGCTCAGATCATGTTACATCAAAGAACCACTAAATGCTCGCTTTCCCAAAACAAGAATTCGTCAGCCGATTTTTTTAAAATTCTATATTACAATATGATCCTAAAGGCAATTGATTTGCACAAGGGTGCTCTTGATCTAAGTTCAACCCCGAGTATAATAATGACATCTTTGGCAAAGATCTGTCTTCCCATAGATCAAAGCATCGGTATCTGAATAAGAGGGGTATGAAATAAGAAGGGTATGAAATATCCCACTAGTATCGCAGAGGTCAGTGGTTCGAATCCCGTACAGGCCTGATTTTTTTCAGGTCTGATTTTCGCTATTGCATATATAGCGCTCTCTACTGCGAGGATCGTGCATCATACTTATCTAATACCGCAGTTCAAAATATACGAACTTCATATATTCATTGTATCTGGTATGAAAATATGTTGTCAAACCATTTCAATTATTCAATTGTTGGTCCTCTATATTAGTGGGTCTCAACCAGCAAGATCATTGAATTGTCATGGATTCAGTCATCTATCACTAATGTGTTACACGTACAAATCAAACAGATTGAACACAAAGTTTCCTATTTATTTCAAAACTTCGAACACATGGTTTTACCTTCGTTTTTCCCGACACTCATTGCGGTTCATGAACTAAACAAAACACGTCACGAACCCTAAAGATGCTTTTTAGCTCTAGAATAAGTCTTCCTACTGATGGGATTTACCTCTTGGCGTACATCGAGGTACGTTACAATATTCCCATCTAACATTTGGGTCAGTGGTGTAACACCAGGGTCCATCCGGGGCACTGCTGTCCGGGTTACGACACATGTTTGAGTCATTTTTGGAATCAGCAACATCTTTAGGAGTCCGCCAGTGACGATGAGGACACTGTGATTTCCAAGGCTGACATGGACGGCCAGTCTGAGTTATGTTAACGTCGCCACGGTAACCAACTCCCACACCATGGTAACAATCTGAGAAAAAAAGGTTGGAAAGTTGGGAGAGTGGCATCAGTCCGTAGACTGATATTTAATAGGGTGACGAGAAGCTTGAACAAAATTTCTGCTATTTTTCTGTCATCGCCTCTGTATAAATTTAAATTTATGCCTACTTATTTTATTGAGTCCAAATAGTTTTGTACAAAGCACTACGGACGCATTAAGCGGCATTCGAATAGAGATCTTAAAAATTACAATTCAGAACATTAATAACAGACCTGTACTCTCAGTGTCATCACCTACGGGAAATGGAGAAAAGTAAGAGCAGCAGAGGTTAGAAAAGTAAAGAAAAAGTATAAAATTGTCTGATCGATGTGATAAACCAAAATATTACAGTTATTTCCTGGCGTCTGATTTTGTATATGGCTGTTTGTGTGTGTGTATTTTTGATGAGTATTTTTGCGTATCCACACATGCGAACTGGCTCACATGTTGCCAGAGTGTTCCTACTTTTCGTAACATTAAATATTTTTACTACACGAGGATGGGATACTATTCCATGGCGGGTAATCTGTCCCCCTCCTCTCTCTGCGTTTCGTTAAACTTCTCAAATTCCTGGTATCAACTTATACACCTGGGAGGGGAGGGGCGCCTTAAAGAACAATATATCCTGCTCCACTCCGGAAGCGCAATGATCCTGTTTAAGCCGAAGAGTTTAATAACTCTCAGAAGGACATGACCAGATAATGATAACTTCTTGAAATATTAGATTTTTCGATGACGGTGTTACACCTACCAGGAAGATCATACCATTGATAGCACTCAGGAGCATCGCCACCATTTGCATCAACAAACTTAGAGCTTGAGCAATTTATCATGTCCTTGTCAATTCCTAAGTTCGGTGTATCTCTAATTAAAGCTATTTCTGGTTTACAAACGAATTGGTCCAAATATTCGCATGAGCTGCGACAAATCCGACGTTTTTTAGGCCGCCCCAGTGATTCATCGCACTGTGGGAAATGATAGCGACAGAACAACTCTCTTAATGTGAGGTTGCACTCCGGCGTAATTTTAAACAAGTTGAGAAAAATTAAATTTCCAGTTTCCGTTTCACTAGAATCCAGCGTGGATTGGTCACCATAAACGTACTGGCTTGTAATTATGTTTTTACATAATTCGCCCTTATACTCGTAAAATATACAATAAGCTGCTCTCATAGAAGCGTTAACTGGAGAAGATGCCTGCAGGCAGCTGTAACAAAAAAAAAAGAAAAAAAAATCAGGATAAAAGAAAGAGAATAGTAAAATGAATGAGCATATATAAATTTATTAATGCAATCTGAATAGATATATATCTAAGATCTGAACGTTTGTGAAATGTCAAGCGTACCAACCTTGAATTAGAATCCTCTTGAGTAAAGTTACTCTCTGGTTATCGAAAAAAAAAAAATCCAACAAACAAGAAATGGAAAGACGTCAATTGTTTTGGCAGGATATGATAACATGACAGAAAACAACAAACATATGAAATACATATATATGAACTGCGGTCATGAAACGTATATGTGCACGATCCTTCGCAGTAAAGCACTATTTAAGCAATAGTGAAAATCAGACCTGAAAAAAATTCAGGCCTGTACGGGATTTATGTCGAATTAAATTGATGGCCTGCTCCCAGTTGGCTTGTTAGCTCAATTGGTAGAGCGCTGCACTAGTATCGCAGAGGTCAGTGGTTCGAATCCCGTACAGGCCTGAATTTTTTTCAGGTCTGATTTTCACTATTGCTTAAATAGTGCTTTACTGCGAAGGATCGTGCACATATACGTTTCATAACCGCAGTTCATATATATGTATTTCATATGTTTGTTGTTTGATTTATCATCTACGGGTTTATGTCGAATTAATTTGATGGCCTGCTCCCAGTTGGCTTGTTAGCTCAATTGGTAGAGCGCTGCACTAGTATCGCAGAGGTCAGTGGTTCGAATCCCGTACAGGCCTGAATTTTTTTCAGGTCTGATTTTCACTATTGCTTAAATAGTGCTTTACTGCGAAGGATCGTGCACATATACGTTTCATAACCGCAGTTCATATATATGTATTTCATATGTTTGTTGTTTGATTTATCACCTACGGGTTTATGTCGAATTAATTTGATGGCCTGCTCCCAGTTGGCTTGTTAGCTCAATTGGTAGAGCGCTGCACTAGTATCGCAGAGGTCAGTGGTTCGAATCCCGTACAGGCCTGAATTTTTTTCAGGTCTGATTTTCACTATTGCTTAAATAGTGCTTTACTGCGAAGGATCGTGCACATATACGTTTCATAACCGCAGTTCATATATATGTATTTCATATGTTTGTTGTTTGATTTATCACCTACGGGTTTATGTCGAATTAATTTGATGGTTTGCTCCCAGTTGGCTTGTTAGCTCAATTGGTAAGGCGCTGCACTAGTATCGCAGAGGTCAGTGGTTCGAGTCCCGTACAGGCCTGAATTTTTTTCAGGTCTGATTTATCACCTACGGGTTTATGTCGAATTAATTTGATGGCCTGCTCCCAGTTGGCTTGTTAGCTCAATTGGTAGAGCGCTGCACTAGTATCGCAGAGGTCAGTGGTTCGAATCCCGTACAGGCCTGAATTTTTTTCAGGTCTGATTTTCACTATTGCTTAAATAGTGCTTTACTGCGAAGGATCGTGCACATATACGTTTCATAACCGCAGTTCATATATATGTATTTCATATGTTTGTTGTTTGATTTATCATCTACGGGTTTATGTCGAATTAATTTGATGGCCTGCTCCCAGTTGGCTTGTTAGCTCAATTGGTAGAGCGCTGCACTAGTATCGCAGAGGTCAGTGGTTCGAATCCCGTACAGGCCTGAATTTTTTTCAGGTCTGATTTTCACTATTGCTTAAATAGTGCTTTACTGCGAAGGATCGTGCACATATACGTTTCATAACCGCAGTTCATATATATGTATTTCATATGTTTGTTGTTTGATTTATCACCTACGGGTTTATGTCGAATTAATTTGATGGTTTGCTCCCAGTTGGCTTGTTAGCTCAATTGGTAAGGCGCTGCACTAGTATCGCAGAGGTCAGTGGTTCGAGTCCCGTACAGGCCTGAATTTTTTTCAGGTCTGATTTTCACTATTGCTTAAATAGTGCTTTACTGCGAAGGATCGTGCACATATACGTTTCATAACCGCAGTTCATATATATGTATTTCATATGTTTGTTGTTTGATTTATCATCTACGGGTTTATGTCGAATTAATTTGATAGCCTGCTCCCAGTTGGCTTGTTAGCTCAATTGGTAGAGCGCTGCACTAGTATCGCAGAGGTCAGTGGTTCGAATCCCGTACAGGCCTGAATTTTTTTCAGGTCTGATTTTCACTATTGCTTAAATAGTGCTTTACTGCGAAGGATCGTGCACATATACGTTTCATAACCGCAGTTCATATATATGTATTTCATATGTTTGTTGTTTGATTTATCATCTACGGGTTTATGTCGAATTAATTTGATGGCCTGCTCCCAGTTGGCTTGTTAGCTCAATTGGTAGAGCGCTGCACTAGTATCGCAGAGGTCAGTGGTTCGAATCCCGTACAGGCCTGAATTTTTTTCAGGTCTGATTTTCACTATTGCTTAAATAGTGCTTTACTGCGAAGGATCGTGCACATATACGTTTCATAACCGCAGTTCATATATATGTATTTCATATGTTTGTTGTTTGATTTATCATCTACGGGTTTATGTCGAATTAATTTGATGGCCTGCTCCCAGTTGGCTTGTTAGCTCAATTGGTAGAGCGCTGCACTAGTATCGCAGAGGTCAGTGGTTCGAATCCCGTACAGGCCTGAATTTTTTTCAGGTCTGATTTTCACTATTGCTTAAATAGTGCTTTAGTGCGAAGGATCGTGCACATATACATGACAGAAAACCTCGAAAGTAATTAATTCAGTTGTCGACTTGTTTATCACTAGAAAGACACAGAATAACCAATAATCTTTGAATGCTTTTCATTTCTGAAGAGCGTGCAGGTTTAAAAGCGGGACAGAACTGTGCAAGACTAAAGAAAGTAACTTTTTCTACTCACCGCAACAAGCCATCATAGTGTTCAAAATTGTAAGAATGGTAACTGCAAAGACACGAGCCCTTTCCATACTGCAATCTAACACAAGGTTATTGAATACGCAGACTGTTGCTGAATAAACATAAGAACATTTGGTTTAATCAACTGAGTTGAGATGTAAGTTGGCTACCGTAAAGAGTTTAAAAACAGAGTTGACGTCTCGAGGGTAACCTCTTGGTCTGGTCCGAGTTCCGAAAAGTTTTCCGAGAGCGAAATAATGGACGAAAGTCATCATAATTAGAATTATATTTACGTTAACCTGGCCGTGAGTACACCAAGTCAGTAATATAGATGAACAAACATAAAATGACTATGAGTGAACACAAGATTATCTATACGATATTATGCAGTTCCAAGCTCAAAATGAACAGAGCATTGCATTATGCGGTTCCAACTGAGGGTCTCAATGGGGTGATGGCTTCTGCGGCTAACAGTTAAAACTTTGGCTAACAGACAAACTTTTCGTCCCTTTTACGGCTAAGGACTATTTATTTATTGCTCTTAAAACCCGGCTCTGTTCGTCGGGCAATTTTATAATTCAAAAACCAAACACACCTAACACTAAGCCGCAGAGTAATATTGTTATTCGAAGTGGCTTAACAGCGAAACAGTTGTCAGTCCATACACATCAAAACTGAAGAAACTGGAGCCAATTAAGATAACACGCTTCGTTTACCAAAGAACGTGTGTTATTTTGTCCCCGGGTATGCATATTAGATATGCATAAATCATCGCAGTTGATGTCTGTGTTTATTCTTTTAGCTTTTCGCAATCAGCGTCCTTGTAAAGACCACCGTAGATTTTAAGCTTTAATTTCCTTTTGCTGTAACTCTCTTGAGCCACCGGGTAGGCGTTAGCCATCAAGCATCGAACTGCTTGTGTTTCTGTCGTTTAGTTTCGTGTTACGTTTGATCATGCATTTTTTTCTATTTCTAGGTTTCTTAGTAATTACCGACGAATGAAATGAAATTGACGTGACTAAAGGGTCGACGAATACTTTGCTAATGGTCAACTGTACGGCGAGCAAACATAACAGTTCCTCTCTCTTCGCACGCGACGTAGAGAATACTGAGCATGACTCACCCAGGTTATTTGGTAGCCCAATTAGTTATTACCAACGCCAACATGCACCTTGGACCCAAAACAATATGTTTGTCACGCAAATTTGAGTGAGTAGTTCAATAAAGGCACGAATCAACAACCAGCGCTTTAGAATTTTGTCAAGAATGGCAAATTTTATCGTACTCAGCCGATCGCGTTACGTCGATCTTCCTAGACGGAGTATGCTAACTACAAGTGTTGTTCGTTGAAGTACCCTTAGTATCTCCAAGTACAATGTGGCTTAAAATTTGTCATCATAAACTGCTGGTGATCTTCCTACTAAATAACGAGAAACTTTGGAATTTAGTGTTTGAGTGGAGCTTTGCTTACATCTCAAGTACAAAATGAAAACTCAGCATTTTACGTTCAAGCTCGCGCGGAAATCAAGTCAAAACAACATACGAATTTAAATACCTTTCGTTTGCTGACTTCCGGCTCCAGCCTACGATTTTTCTGGTAACTGAAACTGCGTTTTGGTTCTTAGTAAGAAGACACAAACGAAGAACTGATTGGATATTGAATGATAAAACAAGCACTAACTTCCAATCCAATCGTAAAGCAGTATGAAAAGTAATACGAGCCAGTCAAAGAGTGTTTGCGCATTTTCAAATCTTCTAAAATGTTAATTAGAGGCCAAGAGATGCTCCGAGCATGCGCAGTTTTATTGGAGCTCAAACAGGGCTGACTGAGTATTCTCTGCGGTTGAATGAACTGCTTTGTCGGCTGAAAATTTCATTTCGCTCTCGTGTTGAAATCTGATCGCTTTCAAATAAAGTGACAATTTCTCTGTATTTTAGAGACTAATTAGCATTTTTTTCGACTCTATGTTTCCCTACAAATTCACTTCAAGGTGAACAAAATAAAATCTATGGGTAAAGCTCTTTTTGAAAAAGAAATAATCATAAAATGTGCTGATGGAAAGGTGTTTCTGCTTCTGGCAAAGTCAATGATCATCTTATTAATAAAGGCTGATAGTTTCGAAAGAAACTGTTTGGGGCTGCGTCGGTGGGAGTAACGAAATAATTTGGATATATCAACAAAGTTGAAGTGGTAAATTGGCCACCGTAACGATTACAAAAGCTGACGTTTCGATCATCTTATTATTCCAGGGGCCAGAGTAGGTTCTCAGTACCACTCAGGTCCATAGTTTGGACAAATCCTTACCCTTGAAAACAGAATGACTATAAAGAACTCAGATTCCTCTACAGAATACACAATCATATTATCAAGCAACAACATGTATAGAACGTCAGAGGGTGTACTGTTCACATAAAAGATTCTGCTAGATAATAATAACACTTAGAGTAGGTTTCTCCCTAAATGACCGGTACCAAGTCGATCTTTACGTGTACAGGTAACTTCCAAAACGAAATGATTAGAAAACTAACAATGTAAGTTAAAAGGGAAACCAATTGCTAATGATAACAAAATTAATTTGATGGCTTGCTCCCAGTTGGCTTGTTAGCTCAATTGGTAGAGCGCTGCACTAGTATCGCAGAGGTCAGTGGTTCGAGTCCCGTACAGGCCTGAAATTTTTTTCAGGTCTGATTTTCACTATTGCTCAAATAGTGCTTTACTGCGAAGGATCGTTCTCATATACAGATAACAAATGATATCAACCAACGCTACGTCAAAGCGCGATTATAATGTCTGATACTTGCGTTCGATAATATTATGCAATTTCGTTTGGATTATCTTTATTCTTCAAGTAAGGCTAGTCTAAAAAGTTCAAACGTTACACCTGACCAGCAAAAAGGTACGAGATACCTGGAGAATTATTTGATTTTTATTTCCCTTTTTTTTCTTACCGTCAATCGTGACCTTGCAGCGAGAAGGTGCTTCTTGGCTAGAAAATTGTTGTCGTAGTTTCCGACTTCGGCCTGTCATGTGATTTATGCGAAAAAGGTGAATACGAAACTACGTCTGGGGTATGGCCAGTATTCTTGTTTAAGTAAAAGGGAGAGTAGTTGAATCGACAAACTGTTCTTCATCTTTTTTTTCATAGAAAACATGCTGCAATCTATAGCTCCGGCTATATCTGTAATGAAATCAGGACATTACCTGTCAATTATATATGTACAATTAATCTTTATGTACGTCACCAATCCGATACTCTTAACTTTTGTTGAATGGAATAAACACAAGATCATACACAATTCAGTCTGATTGATATCTCCGAAAATAGCATTTTAGAAAGATTTTTGGTTCTTTGAAGTATTATGGTTTACGTAAACCGACAGAAGGAACACTATACCCCTAAGAACCCACCTATTTCCTTAAATAACCTTGCTTAAGTTAATTCTTACAAAGACGTGACTCTTATAAGCATTGATAACAATAGCAATGTTCTAAAACCTCACTTGAACCCACCACGGACTAGAACTTAGTTTACGTCATTAGCACATAACCCAATATAATTTCCTAGAATGTTCCCTGGTTTAAGGAGGCAGTGTGGCTGAGTGGTTAGAGTGTCGGACTCGTAATCCGCCGCTCCCGGGTTCGAGTCCCACCCTGACCACTGGATTTGTTTCACGGTAGCCCCGAGTTCAGATCCTTGGCCACGCTTGTAAATAGCCAAATGGTTTGCCTCCGGCCGGTTGGGGCTCTTAATGATGTTATGTTCAAGTTAGACCATTTGTTTCATTTGTTTGCAAGGACCACAATGGAAACTACTGGTTCACCAGTAATTGTGTAATCCTATTAAAAAGACTTTTTGTAAAATTTTTTTTATTATTATTTTTATGTCATTAGAAGGTTTGTATATCCATGTCACCGTGAGTAAGCATTCAAGAAATATCCAGAAATTTCTGTCTACTTTTACTATCCATAACAGCAGACACCTCTAAATAACAACTGATTTACTCATTAGTCGGATATCCAGCTGATTTTTTGCAACTCTTTTCGAACGATTTGAGTGCTCGTGGATACTTCGCGGGCGCTGAGCTCCGCCCATCCCCCTCCCCCCCCTCCCGTGGTCATCTCAACCCTGTTTTACCTGCAAAAAAGGGAATTTTATCGGTTCTTGAGTCTTTGGAGGATTACACGAACAACACGAAGACAGACGTGCAAGTTTTCAACTGAAGGGAGGTATTACGGATAGTTAAAATTGTAAAGCTATTTGCCATGAGTTGATAGGGTCCTGATAATTAATTTCGCTTTGCAGCTTTTTTATGGTCTCTGAAAGTTTTCAATTGAAACAGACAAACAAATGCCTCCCTGGTCATGATAACGAAAAACCCTGAGAGAAGGTTGGGCACTCTAAGCATTAGTACTGTTATAATGTTAAAATATAGCTGAGATGAAAAGCAGTTTCATTGATATACTCATTAGTCAGATCGAGATGCAGGAATATTGATGAAGTTCTGGTGAATTTAAAATTCTGTGAGAAATAAATTTGTTTTTATCGTAAAATGACTTTATAGTGCTTTTTTGCTACAGTCGGTCCTTTGGGGTGTTACTGTGGGAGATTAAATCTGGAGGTAAACAGTTCAAGCCTTGAGACATTTAAACCATTATTAGGCTGTTCGTCATCATCATTATCCTTTTAGTCTGCTGTGCTATCTCAAACATATGTTAGTTTTGCAGTTAGTGCCAGAAGTCAGTCGGTCAGTCAGTAAAAATTAAGCAATTATTGGGTAAGATTGACTATGATATCATGAATAATTAATGCAGAGGTCTGAGTTTCGGCTTTGGCAGATAACTAAGACACGAGGTTTGACCATTCCAGCATAGTTCCCAGGGCCCTTTCCCTTAGTTTGGGGTGGGAATTTCATTCATTTACGCGTTTGTATGTGATCCAAAGAAACCGTTGCGGTCCACCATTAGTAGAAGCAGTTATTGCACTCATACCCTGATATAGCTGCGTAAAACGGGCATGTTTTTCACAGTTTGTGGAGCCCTTTATCAAGTGACGACATCAATTAACAGTTCAGGTTATAAACACCACAGCGTACACTATTGAGTTATGGATGAAAGCGGGAGGTTGCTAAGCACGAAAGAACCGTAAGAGTCGCGCAAGACGATAGCCGAGACGGACTATATCTGGATTTCAAGCTCATGCACTTAAAGCCCAACAGTACCGAATAGTAATGTAAAGTAATGAATGGCCTGAATTCTGAGAGATAACCTTTACTCAATGATAGTAGCCACTTAGAGAAAACTACTGCTTATAAAAGAGTGATTCACATGAACAGAGAAGGCTAAAGAACCTCAAAACGAAATAAACTATTTTCAGTTTGAATGACTTTTAAGAGGCTACAGGCAAGTCTGTTAAGATCCTTGATACAGTAGCTCTAACCGACTCTGGTATACTACGAACCATAATCAAATGAACTGTATCTCATGTTGTACAATGTTAAAAATAGAAAACGTAAGTGGAGTTTGTCACTTGCAGTCCGAGTTGATAGGTCATCATCTCTACACTGTAGCTATAATTTGTTACGTCTTTACTGTCTACATTGTCTACATTCTAAATAACTTTTACTTTGAAAATGTGTTCTTTTGTACGATCATTCATTGCAAAAACATGTCTTTTCTTTTATCTCGACTTTAAATTAGTGTTCTAGCCGCTTCTAACATGAACGAGGTCCTGTTCTATCGCTCAAGTGCAAGTAAGCACAACACACCAACAACTAAGTCAACATACAAGATGAACATTCTTATAAATGACTCCACCTAAATTTTATTGTCCACATAATTAACTTGCAATAAAAATTAGGTCATCTTTGATTCCCTCTAGATCTGATCTGATCTTTATTTTCAAAAACCACTCAGCTTTTTTCAAAGTCATGGTCGCTCTTATCCTCCATGAGGTCCTTAAAGAAAAATTTATGAAAAAAAAAAAAACATTAGTGAACATATGAGACATCAAGATTTTTTTCAGTTTTTGTCAAAGTTTGGCTTCCACATCTATTTATGTTCGTTCTCTCACTATTTTAAAAATTCAATTTGATGAGACAAGGAGAGCAGAGGATCATTAACTATTTGGTGACGATCAAATACATACATCTTTCGTTTTCAATTCTTCCTCGAGTGATTGCAAAAGTTCAGAAAATGATGAACGCTTTGTAGGATCCAAACTCCAGCATGACCTCATAATATCGTAGCTGTGAAAGGAAAACCGATTCAGTTTAGTCACACCCCAGAGTTGAACCATTTTTAGAGAACCTTGCTCTCATTACATTCAAGATCATTTACATTTCAGTTGGGCATCCATCCGGCTTTGTTAATATTTGTCCTGTTTTCAGAAATTCGATTATTTCCATTCCGCTAAGACCAGAATACGGCATTTTACCTTGATAGGAAAGATAAAAAATTCAGCCTTTCTTGATGTTTTAGTTCACAGCTTGTCTTAAAAACACGTCTAATGATAGATCTTTACTGACGTACCGAATCACTTCAAACCACTGTCAAGGAGTGGGACAATGCAAAACTAAAGTACGTTTGTCATAGCATAGGCAAAAATAATGATAACGAACATGATGAAGATGACGCTGATGATGTTTTGGATGGGTATTTTAAATTCTCAACTTACTCACATATCTTTTAAAATGAAATAGGTAGAAAGGCTTAAGGCTAAATCTGTTTACCTCCAGATTGAATCTCCCATAATAACACTCCAAAGGACCATCTGCAGCAAAAGAGCATATTGAGGTTATTTTACAATAAACACACATTTATTTCTTAACGGATTTTAATTCCAAGTTGAAATAACACCACGACTCCAACAACATTCCTACATTTCGATGTTATTAGAATACGCTTAAAAAACCTCGAGACCCCTCAAAGCGTGATCCATAAAGGATAAGCATCAACAGCTACATAGGAAATGTTCGCCAGTTACCTAATTAGTCACTCGTTTTTCTCTCTATTCACTTAAAATTTTTTTTCTATGATGATCCTTTTTTTTCGGGAAAGCTTGGAGAGCTTCCATGCAATTAATAGTGGCTATCACGTACATCTGACCTATAAAATCGTAGGATCACATCGTTTACTTTAAACAGTTTTTTCGGTGTCAATGTTTTTGCAATCGAGTTTATAAAGGAAATCATGGATTTAATGCTGTTGTCTAACCAGGCATATTTTAATATTATAACAGCGCATACAATAAGAGTACCCGGCCTCAGTTAATTAACTATTAACAGGTAGCTTTACAATGTTATCTTTTTCCCAAACAATTTCTTACAGTTTTAACTTACACGTCTGTCTTCGTGTTGTAGGCATAATCCTCATTATTTCTTACAGTTTTAACTTACACGTCTGTCTTAGTGTTGTAGGTGTAATCCTCCAAAGACTCAAGAGCCATCCAACGAACTGGTAACATACCCTTTTTGAAAGAAGGATTTAAAAACACCGTTTGAGTTAAGAGACTTCAGTTTAGATATTGCTGAAGGAGAATACTTCATACGAAAATGGACCAAGACAATGCTAAACTAAAATAAATTTGAGATAACACAGAAGGCAAAAATGGTAACGATGATAATGAACATGATTAAGATTGTTATGGGGAGTGACTATAAAATAGTGCTTTCCAGAAATTTCAAGGATGCCTTCTTCAAAGAGGAAAGAATCTTTGAAATGTAGTTGTGATAACAGGATTTCTTGCATGAAATAGAAATATCAATTTTTTTTAACTCCGTTTCCACTTTTTTAAGCATACTGGCCATACCCCAGATGTATTTTCGTATTCACCACTCTCGTACACATCACGTGACAAGCCAAAGTCGGAGACCATGGCAACATTATTCTCGCCTAGAAGCACGTTTCTTGCTGCAAGGTCACGATAAACACACTATGAGAGAGGAGCAAAACAGAAATCAAATAATCCTCTTAAAAGTAAATATTTCTCTGAATTCGTTATGCTATCACATACCTTTTTGTTGGATAGGTGTAACATTCCACAGGCTACATCTCTGGCTATCTTCACTTTGTCTTGCGGCGTGAAGTTTATTTGTTTATCCGTAACATTGTAATATGGATTTACTCTGTTCCTCTTTAGTTGGTCCAACAAAGAGCCATTTGGGGCCAAACGAACAATCACCAATACTGACTCTAGAATTTGCGGCAATGTTTTGAAATTAAAATTGTGAAGTGATAGCGTTGCATAATTAGGAATCTGCTTTTGCATTGAAGGACGAAACTGGAAAGGAAACTGTACGTAGAACGTTGTTAAGTAATTCATATTCCAAGAAGAATAGATGTTAACTAAAAGTTACCAGTCTTGGTACAAGCTCCAATAAGGCTCAATACATTAGGATGTACCCCAACTGTGACCATGATTGCGAGCTCGTTTATCAAGTCCCTTCTCTCTGTTTCTGTGGCATTCGCTGTTAAGAAATATTCTAAAATTAACTGATATTCAAAGGACTGCAACTCTGTTTATGATTTTTGTATCAAACATGCGCACGCCTTTTTATGTTCTTTCAATGAAGGAATCATCAATCAATGAATTGAATTTGCTAATCAATAATTGACTTAACTTTGTAACTAAGTCAGTCAACCAATTAAAAGCCTCATCAAATAAAATTACCTTTTAGTTTTTTTACTGCGCATGCTCTCTCTTGTCCACCCAGGCGCACTAAACCTTTGTAAACCTCTCCAAACGCACCTTCCCCCAGCTTGTCTTGGAGAGTGACATCTGATCCGGGAATTTCAACCCAGTTTCCAAACTCGATGGAGAACTCAATCTTCAAGAGCAGTGCAAAAAATAAAATGCAAATGAATTATACCACGTGTCAAACATCAACCAACCTGATAACTTAATCATACAATGGTAGTGAATTACCTCTTCTTTCTTCTGTTTTGATTTACATATTGGTCGAAACTTTAAGCAAACGGCCAATATGAATACAGAAGCCAAGAACAAGGGCAAGGCTATAACCAACATCAAATCTCTGATGAATCTGTCTGTAAGTTAGAAAAAAGCAAACACTTATCACAAGCAAATAACGAGAAACAGTAACATTTCCCTCAAACAGCAAGTTTTTTGTTCTCTTTGGTTCGTTAAATGTCTGTTTTCGCTTTTAAAAATAATGAAACAGTTTTCCAATTACTTTGGCTTCACCTTTAAACCATTACGATCACCAAACAAGAACTTTGTTCTAAATGACCTACAAAAACAAACGGTAGTACAAGTATCCAACGCTATAATCGCGCTTTGTCATAGCGCTGGTTGACATCAACTGTTTTTGTCAGCAATTATTTTCGTTTTTGACTGATTTCGTTTCCTAAATAATGTATGTAAAGATCAACTTGGTGCTGATTTTTTAGGGAGAAACCTACTCGAGGTGTTATTATCACCTGGCAGTGTGTTCTGTGTTAACAGTACACCCTCTGACCTTCCATACTTGTTGTTGCTTGATATTCTGATGGTGTATTCTGTGGAAGGATCTAAGTTCTTTATAATCATTCTGGTTTCAGGGTATGGAACTGTCCAAACGGCGGTAAATTTCTTCAGTCTTGATATCTTTCGTTCTATGATGTAGTCGCGTACTTGGTATAAGCCGTTATATTCTGGCTCTTCCCAAGTTAAAATAAAGTATGTTGATTGTGCATTCCTTACAAAAAAATTTTTCGGAGGCCTCGGTGTTTCTAGTGAATGAAGGAAGTATCATCAATAAATACCTAAACAACAACAAATTAAAAACTACATAACTACCTGGCACCTTGTCGAGTTATTCAAATATATGATGGTCTGAGATTAAGGTCGTAAAAGCAGGGTGACCTCTACAAGAATTTCCTCACCCTGAACTAATATGGAAGTAACTTTAAGTCGATCTCCAAATGACGAACGCATCCCTCCTATCAAATAATTCAGAGCATCATCTTTGTCCGTTGTGTTTGTATTTATTGTCACAAGGACTTTAATGTCTGCCCTTACGCTGCCATTTCTAAAGAAAACAATAAAGAAAAACTTAAGAAAATTAGTCAACGATAAGTAAATTAATGTTGATCATCAGAACTGGAAAACTACAAGGTACTCAAAGCTTCCGTTTTTGAAGATGTGGGTGAGTGCGAAACAACTAATATGGAAAAGGAAAATTTTATTCTCTTACCAACCGTAAATTTAATTTTCATTTGAGGTCTTATTTACTTGGCGTCATTTTGAAAGTAAGGTTGTTTAAAAATTGGCCAATTTAGACAAGGCTTAAAAGAGAATAAAAATGATTTCCTTGCTCTCGCTTGTTTTATGGCAGCCAAAGTCGGGGTTGTGATTTCATCCAATCTTACCTGAACTGTATAGTTACGACGTCATATATCTTCAACATAGAAGATTCATTGAAGTGGTGTTTTATCTAAAAGAAAAAAAATGGTTTATTCTAACAGAGTATGTGGAAATTTGAAAACCCAATTTTAGCCTTACACTGATCGCATGTTAAATTAGATAGTATTGTCACTCACTGAAGATCTTGTGACCTCGGTCGTTTCCAAGAACCTTTTACTGCTACTGTTGAGTAGATCGCTGGTGAAGTTAGAGTCGATTATTAACTGGAAGTCCACCTCAAATATGTATTCACCTGAAGAATGAAAATAGACTAAAATAGACAGGGAAGTGGTAACAAGAGAAAAAGAAACACACATGGCTAGGGATGAAAGTAGTGTTGCACATGACAAACTCAAATTCAAATTGGGAGTGACTGGCTCCAAATTCTAAAATCAGTTCATTTCAGTGATTCCGTTTATGTGAAAAGAGAATTCAAACATAAGTTGCTCCATGTTATGTTCAGTGGCATTCACCCTCATGTCCAATTCATGACATCTTGTGAGATCTATTCATAACGAGTTACTGACATCCAGATATCTAACAAAGCTCTTAACTGTTCTTTGGCAGCTTACTTTGAAAGCGATATATACCCTACTTACCAGAGGATAGGGTTTTTAATACAAGGACCGAGCTAGTTGGCCCGTGGCCAATCTCATTAAAGCCATTGACCATAATCACGTATGCTGTGTTTCGACAGAGTTGTGTAATAACATCTTGCGCCAAGTTGCTTGTGGTATTTATTTTTTCATAGATCTCGGACCAGAGGCTCCGGTATTGAATCCGGTAACCCAACAGTTTTTCTTTATGACGAGAAGGCGGTATGTTCTTCCAAGAGATTAAAATCGCGGTTGAATTGAAAGGACGGCCTTTAAGGAGTGTGGGAGCCTCTTCTGGAACTGGTAACAAACCGTAAGTTAAAACAGTCTTCATACCTGAATTATTTTGGTCTACAATAATGAAGAGTGTGTTTTTTCGGTTTGATCTGGAGCAAAATGTGGAATCCAAGAGAACTGAGATTATGTTACATTAGAGCAAATAATAAATGCTCTTTATCTCTGGACAATAATTCGTCAGTCGCTTGTACATTACACCTTGATCCTAAAGATTCTGGCAATTCATCTGCACACGGGTGCTCTTGATCTAAGCCCAACCCTCAGTGTAATAACGAAATCTTTGGCAAGTATTTGTCTACCCATCGGTCCAAGCGTCAGTATCTTAATAATATGAAAATAAACTATGTCGTAAAAATATTTCAAAATAATTATTCAATTATCTTGTAGGTCTTTTATTATCGTGGGTCTCAACCATTAAGATCATTAAATTGTATTCATACATTCTGTCTCCCTTCGTCACTCATGCTCTTTCGCTCGTAAATAAGTTCTCCTTATGATTGGATTTACCTCTGAGCGCACATCGAGATACATTGCAATATTCCCATCGAACATTTGGGTCAGTGGTATAACACCAGGGTCCATCCGGGGCGCTGCTGTCCGGGTTACGACACATGTTCGAGTCATATTTTGAAATAGCAACATCTTTAGGAATCCGCCAGTGACGATGAGGACACTGGGATTTCCAAGACTGACATGGACGGCCAGACTGAGTTATGTTTACGTTGCCACGATAACCAACTCCCACACCATAGTAACAATCTGAGAAAAACTTATTTTGATCATGAAACGCTTTGGAAGCTAAGAAGTGAAAGTAATTGTAAGGAGAGTGGCATCAGTCCATGGACTGATATTGAATAGGGTCACGAGAAGCTTGAACAACATTTCTGTTACTTTTTTTGTCATCGCTTCGTGTCTAACTTGACATATGTGAGATATCTAGTTTTTTAGGTAATCATAATAGTTTTGTACAAAGCACTAGGGGCACATTATTGTAAAATTACAATTCAGAACATTAACAACAGACCTGTACTCTCAGTGTCATCACCTTTGGGGAATGGAGAAATGTGAGAGCACCAGAGATTAGAAAAGCAAACTAAAAGTATACAATTGTCTGATTAATATGAGAAACCAAAAATTACAGATATTTCCTGGCGTCTTATTGTGTATATGGCTGTTTGTGTGTGCGTATTTTGGTCCATATGTCTGTGTCCACGCAAGCCAAGTGGCTTGTATACTGCCAGAGGTGTTCCTACTTTTCGTGACATTATAAGTGTTGGTACTACCAAAGGATGGGACACTAACTCATCGCGGGTAATCTATACCCCTTCTCTCTCTGAATTTTGGCAAATTTCCTGAAAAAGTCGCCGGTATCAGCTTATACACCTGTGAGGGGAGAGGCACCACATGGATATCTTGCCCCAGGCACGCAGCACGATGACCCAGTATAAGCCGAAGCGTTCAATAACTCTAAAAGAGACATGACCAGATAATGATGATGATGGCCGTCTTATACCTACCAGGGAGATCGTACCATTGATAGCACTCAGGAGCATCACCACCATTAGCAGAATCATAAATTGGGTTCGAACAATTTAATATGTCCATGTAGACTTTAAGGGTCGGTGCATCTCTGATTTTTTCCATTTCTTTTTCACAAACGACTTGGACCAAATAATCGCACGAGCTACTACATATGCGGCGTTTTGTGTGCAGAATGTGCAGAGCATTCAATTATGCGGTTCTAGCTGGGGGTCTCGATGGAGCATTGGCTTTTGCGGCTCACGGTTAAAATTTTGGCCATTCTACGACTAACGGTATGATTTCATTGTTGTGATCAGAAATTGTTTTTACGGTTAGTTTTTTTTATGATTATCGTTTAAAATTTGTCACTTTTCACGCTCAACGGTTAGATTTTTCCGGCCCTTTTACGGCTATCGGTTCCCCCCATCGAGACTCTCCTCTAAGCATAGAGTGTCTGGATGTGTAACCATACAACAAACCGGTAAGCAACTCCGATAAACTAAGAACATCAACTTCCTTATGAAATATAATCGGGCTGAAACTTCTGAGAATTGACCCTGAGGTCTTTGAATTGTAATAACAATACCTGGACTCACCTTAATCTCAAAACTTCTGTTCACCGGACAGTTTTATTGCTCAAAAACCAAATACATCTTACATTAAGCCGCAGAACAATATTGTTATTCTAAAAAGCCGAACAGATAAACAGTAATCAGTCCATACTCGTCAAAGCTGAAGAAACTGAAGCCCTAAAAATGGCACTCCTATTTAGGGAATTTAGTGATCATGTCTCGCCTAAGTTTAGAGTTTTGCAGTGTTTTGGGAACAAAAAAAGGATAGAAGTCATAATTTTACCTGCTGACGAGGCTTTTGTTTTCCTTCCTTGGCCAACAACAATCTCTTGAGAGGTCTTTGAATTGTAACTACAATACAAGGATAACAACCCTTACTATCACAACATCTGTTTGCTAGAGAATTGACTCATGTATTAATGACATTCATCGCTCAAAAAAGAAATACATCAAAAATTTAGCCGCAAATCAATATTGATACCCAAAAATGTGGAACAACTAAACGGGAAGCAGCAGTCCATACCCGTCAAAGCTGAAGAATATAAGCTGGTAATGATAACATCTCCTCTCTCTTCGCACGCGTGAATTTGATGAGCACGACTCACCTAGCTAGGTTACTTGTTAGCAGAAGTATTTATTACTAACATCACCAGTCACCTTGGACACATAACAATACGGTCGTCTCACGAATTTGAGTAAGTAGTTAAATAAAGGCAAGAATGAACGACCAGCGCTTTGGAATTTGTCAGGAATTGCAAATTTGATCTTACTATGCTCGGCCGACTGCGTTACGTTTTCATAAACGGAGACAAAGTACGGTACAAGTGTAGTATCTCCAAACACCATGTGGTTTAAAATTTGTGATCATAAGCTGCTGGTACATTTCCCGCTAAAGAAGAAGAAACGTTGGAATTTAGTGCATGAGTGGTTGTGTCACTTGCATCTTAGGCGCAAAAGAATTCAGCGATTTCACGTTCAGGCTTACACGGAAATAAAGTTAAAACAACATACGAGTTTGAATGCTGTATGCTGACTTCCGGCTCCAGCCAGTGATTTTGCTGGTAACTGAGGCTGCGTTTTGTTTCTTACTAAGAAAACACGAACGAAGAAACTGGACAATACTGCCTCCGGCAAAGTCAATTAAGATATCATAAGGGACCGCAGAATTAGCTGTCAGTTTCATCTATTTGAGTGCGTGTGTCACGCCAAATACAGATATGTCATTTGTCTTCTGACAAGCTCAGCAGACTAGAGAGGATTAGTTTCCGTAATTTCCGCCTCGTTAGTTTGTGTTATGTTTCGTCGCTAAAGCATGTCGGGGCAGGAAGTCAATGTTATTCGCTTGGTTTGTCTTTCGCCACAGTCTTCTTAGCTCAAGCTCTCGTGCTGAACTGAAATCATGGTAACTTTTCAGAGAGCGAAACCAAATAGGAAAACTTCATGTTAGTGGGAAGACAGTAGTGAGTCAGAAGGTATTTCAATTCGTGAGTGATTTTCATACAAGCATGCGAGGAAGATTACTCGACTACTTTGTTACATACGACAAACTAATTTGCTTCAAAAATTCTATCGAGCGTTGCTCCCACTTTAGAAGGCTGTCATCTCCAAAGTATCTGGAAAAGCCTCGTACATTTTGACGACACACATTTGCATTTTTTTTTATTCACAGCGACGTGGTTGTTTAAATGAAACTTCTGTCACGGTGGGCGAGGTATGAAACAGGATCCATCGCTTAGGGTATTGTTAATCCCGTTTAAGAAAATACTACATCAAGAAGAGAGTTGGCAGGCAGTAGACCCTTAACATAGGGGATAGTCTAGTAGGGTGCCATGAGTCTCGTAACAGGATTCAGGAATGGCCCTGAAGAACAACTTTGTTTGCCCAACTGCGTTGAATTCATCTTAAGCGGTGACTGTATTTCATGCCTATTTCTGTTCCAACGACAAAACAGCTATCCACCACGATGGGAGACGAACTGATCTCAAGCAACAAGATAGCGAGTCTCAAATTGAATATATAAAAGCAGGCAAATCGCGCAGCGTGTTAATGGTTAGATTTGATCTTCAGCAAATTGGCATTTTACGTGCTGAAAACATTATTTAAAGCGACGTCTGTACATCATTTATAATTTTCTGCATCATTGAACACAATTGTACCAAAAGGGATCGAGGGTCGTCAATAACATAATTCACTTATTGGTAAAGATATCAATGCTCTGGGAAAGAAAACCATCTAGCCAGTATACTTATATTCTAGAGAAGAAAGGTAGGAGTCGTTTGAAATATCTTTATGGGGATTCTTTCAGCTTAACAATCGATTTCAACTGATTCAGGATAATAAATGACGATTTGGCATTATGTAATGGTTCGACTCTAACTCATAGAAACTCATGTCTTTCCGCATGTCGAGTTTACTGATCATCTAATTAGCTGATACGATAAATAGCTCTCTTTAATTTTGCCCAGAAATTTTAAAATGATTATCCCTTTTGTGTAAAAGTTGTCTACTGTACGTTTGGCGAGTTAATTTCCCTATTTATCCCTACACCTTTGCATTAGATTGAAGTTCTCACAAAGGGATTACGTTCGAAACGTCAGCTTTGTTTTTAGACTCTTGTATGACGTTGTCCAACTTACATCTTAACTCGGTTGATAAAACCAAATGTTCCTATGCATATCCTTAACAGTCTGGATATTCAATAACCTTGTGTTAAATTGCAGAATGGAAAGGGCTTGTGTCTTTGCAGTTACCATTCTTACCACATTGAACACTATGATGGCTTGTTGCGGTGAGTAGAAAAAGTGTACTTTCTTTATTCTTGCATAGCTCTGTCCCGCTTTTAAACTTGCAAGTTCTTCAGAAATGAAAAGCATTCAAAGATTGTTCGTTATTTTGTGTCGTTCTAGTAAGAAACAATTCGACCAATGAACTGCGTACTTTCGGGGTTTTTCGCTCTGTTATCTTATCCTGCTAAAACAATTGATCTCTTTCCATTTCTGTTTGTTGGTTTTCTTTTTTCCATAACCAGAGAGTAACTTTACTCAGGTGGTGGATTCTAATTCAAGGTTGGTACGCTTGACATTTCACACGTGCGGATCCTAGATATCTATTCAGATTTATAAAGTCAATTTATAGATATACTCTTTCATTTTACTATTTTCTTTCTTTTACCCTGATTTCTTTTGTTACAGCTGCGTGCAGGCATTTCCTCAAGTTGACGTTTCCGTGAGAGCAGCTTACTGTATATTTTACAAGTATAATGGCCAATTATGCAAAAACATAATTACAAGTCAGTACGTTTATGGTGACCAATCCACGCTATATTTAAGTGAACTGAGAACTGGGAACTCGATCAGNCTCAGATTGTTACCACGGTGTGGGAGTTGGTTACCGAGGCGACGTAAACATAACTCAGTCTGGCCGTCCATGTCAGTCTTGGAAATCCCAGTGTCCTCATCGTCACTTGCGGATTCCTAAAGATGTTGCTGATTCAAAAAATGACTCAAACATGTGTCGTAACCCGGACAGCAGTGCTCCGGATGGACCCTGGTGTTACACCACTGACCCAAATGTTCGATGGGAATATTGCAACGTATCTCGATGTACGCCCAGAGGTAAATCCCATCATTAGGAGGACTTATTTAAGAGCTAAAGGGCATGAGTGATAGAAGACTGAATCTATGACGATTGAATGATCTTGCTGGTTGTGTAGCGATCAAACCCAAAGCGATACAACGACTTACTTGCTAAGGATGCGACACCAAGACGGGGATATATTTTACGGACAGAAACACTTGAATCAAATTAATTTATTCGACTGAAGACTGATTCGAGGTTATATCGTAAACTGAAACAAATACAAGCAAAAAAACTAAGCTAATCTTATGCATCCGCGACTAACATATAACATTACAATCATTCCATTACGATGAGATTCTAAATTTGGGTAAAACTGAACTTGAACAAATAAGGTAAATAAAGGATTCGATTCTAACATGGTACAGCAATATAAGGGAAACCAGAAGTGAATAGGACGAGACAATTTGTGCATTGTAAGTGTCTCGATGTATAATAGGGCCTGAACTGGTGTAATTAAATCACAAGATAGACAATACTCTAAGTCTAGAAGAGCCAATCGAGGCTATCTAGCACGCTAAGCTTCAAAACAACGTGAGAAATATACCAAAACTAGGGCAGGCAAGGCGAAACGTAAACTCGAGACACGTGGCAGACTTACAAACGAAGAGCGATATATAAAATCGTTTTGTTCGAGAAAACTAGAGAAATTGATGAGTAGGTTAAAGGTTTGGAGAAGGTTAAAAACTTACACAACAGTCCCGCTTGTTAGTTCTTGACCGAAGACAACTCCAAAATAGAGGCAAGTTATGCTACTAAAACTTGACTTGTAACTTGCCTAACCGAAAAGCAACTGACTAACTGCGTTTTGACGGGGCTATATGAAAGCACGTTTTTAACCGAGATCAATGAACTATTATAACTTCATATTTGCGGTTAACATAAACGAATCAAGATAAGCCTACGTACAATGTCCAAGAGGAGGCATGCTATCCGCTACATGTTGAGACCCACCAAGATAAAGGACCTACAAGAATAATTGAATAATTGAAATGTTTTAACAACATATTTTATACCATTATTATTCAGATACTGAGATACTGATGCTTGGATGCATGGGTAGACAGATCTTTGCCAAAGATTTCATTATTAGATCAAGAGCACCCTTGTACAAATCAATTGCCTCTGGGATATTGTAATATAGAATTAAAAAAAAAAGGCAGACGAATTCTTGTATAGAGACAGAGAGCATTTACTGGTTGCTTTGATGCAACATGATCTCAGCACTGTTGGATTCCACTTAGTGCTCCAGATCAAACCAAAGGAACACGCTCTTCTTTATTGTGAACCAAAATAAAATAAATGCTGTTTTTGTTCTTTTAGTTCCAGAAGAGGCTCCCACTTTCCTTAAAGGCCGTCCTCTCAATTCAACTGCGATTTTAATATCTTGGAATAACGTACCTCCTTCTCGTCATAAAGAAAAACTGTTGGGTTACCGGGTTCGATATCGGAGCCTCGATTCCGAGCTCTATACAGAAGTAAATGCTACGAGCAACTTAACTGAGAATGTTATTACAAGGCTCCGTCCAAACACAGCATACGAGATCATGGTCAATGGATTCAATGGAATTGGCCACGGGCGACCTAGCACGGTTCTTGTGTTAAAAACCCTGTCTTTTGGTCAGTAAGTTATATACCGCTTTCAAAGTTAACTGACCATGGACAATTGAGAGCCTCTTTAGATATCCTGAAGGTTTTTTTATTTTCTTTTTTTCAACAACTTCATTGGGTTTGACTTCTAAAAAATAAAAAATAAATAAAAATAAAAACCCACACAACAGGAGCACTTAGTACAATATTACAAAGCCCCAAAAGGGGGGTGCGAACGGGACGCGAGGTCCCCTATATTAAAAAGTAAATATATAAATTAATAAATGAATAAAAAAGACAGTTTTGTAAAAGAAGAGGAAATACAATAGTTAGCGATGGCAGGGGCAGGTTCTGATTAAGGTCCAGGTACAAGTGTAACCTGCATCAAAATAGGTCCGAAGTAAGTACATAAGAAATGTCAGTAATTCGTGATGAATAGAGATCACAAGATGTCAGGAATGAGGGTGAATGCCGGAGAACATAACGGCGAGAAACTCATGTTTGGTTTCTCTTTCCGCATAATTGAAACACTGTACTGAGCTTCTAATTTTTGAAAACCGTTACTCGTTACGTTTTTAGAATCTAGGACCAGTAACTTTTAATTTAAATTTTAGTTCGTCATAGTTTGCGGTATGTTTTCATCCCCAGCCATTTGTGTTTCTTTTCTCTTGCTATCACCTCCTTGTCTATTTTGGTCCATTGTCATTCTTCAGGTGAAGATATATTTGAGGCGGACTTCCAGCTGAGGATAGAATCTGACTTTACCAGCGATCTACTGAACAATAGAAGTAAAAGGTTTTCGGAAATGGCTGAAGTCATTAGAATCTCAGTAAGTAACATAATAGTTTAGATTTACGCGCAATCAGTGTAAGGCTAAGAAGTTGTTTTTAAATGTCCACCTGCCTTGAGTAGGAATAAAGCTTTTTTCTTCTTTTAGATAAGACACCACTTCAATAAATCTACTACGTTGAAGATATATGACGTCATAACTATGCAGTTCAGGTAAAATAAGATCAAATCACAACCCTGGCCTGGGCTGTACGAAAAACAAGGAAGTGCTCATGTAAACCTTGTCAAAATTGGCCATCTTTTGTTTTTTTTTTAAACACGCTTACTTTCAAATGAAGCCAAGTAAATAAGATTTCAAATGAAAAGTAAATTTGTTCGCACCCAAAGTCTTAA